TTGAAAGCTGTCACTTATACATATTAAAGAATATATCTACCAATTTTCAGCTATTGCAGCGATAACATTGTTCCTTCAAAAAAAGAGGGGTAGTTTAGGCCCAGCCATCAAAGGGTTGCGGCCATGAGAATCAAGGCAACCCATCCATTTAGGTAACTATGAGCTATTCTTTTATGTGAAAATTATCCATTGCAATGATCACATACCCGTTCATATTGCCGGCTCTCCTACTATAATAAACAATGAACCAAATCGCGACAAAAATTGTTTATATGATGAATGTTTTCAACTCGTCTGCCATTTGGTTAAGTGGAATGTAGCTCTTAGAATATGCATATTTTTAATATGGCAGAAACTGCAATAAGTTACATAAGTTGCACATATGGTTGTTAAATTGCAATTTTCTTCTGTCTGCCAAATTGAGTAGTTACTATCAAATCAACTGAATACCTATTAAAAGGCAAAATGACTGCTTATGTATAGGGTTATTTGTTATAAATGTCACCCCCCTCTTTGATATTTTAGAAAAAAGTGTCTCAAATAAAAGTTTTATGGTTGAAAGTAAATTTTTTGAAAAACTCACTTTCGCATATACAGGGTGTTTCAGAAAAGCTGGTCATGCTCCAACTTTCTTATGTTAAATGGAATATCCTGTATATTACTGAACATTCGGATTCTACATGAAATTCTGAGCAGATTTCATGTGATATACCCTATACCTAAGTTCAACTGTTTTGGAAATATTGACAGTTGAAAATTGACTTTTTTGCAACTTTGACAGGCTGTAAAACCTACACGGTTAATTTTAGAGCAAAACCGATATCATATTTTTATTTTAGATTTTCATAAACTATCGGTTGACACTAATATTTAAAACCAACTTTTCATTTAATCCACGATTAAAAATTCCAATTGAATTTAATCCCCGAATAAATTCGATGTTGGTGTCAAATGATAGCTTATGAAAATCTAAGAAAAAAATGTAAGATCGGTTTTGCTCAAATGTTAACCGTTCAGCTTTTACAGCCTGTCAAGGTTGCAAAAAAGTCAATTTTCAATTGTCATTATTTCCAAAACAGTTGAACGGTATAGGGTATATCAAATAAAATCTGCTCAGAATTCTATGTAGAATACGAATATTCAATCAATAATATACAGGGTATTCTATTTAAAATAAGAAAGTTGGAGCACGACCAGCTTCTCTGAAACACCCTGTATAAGCAAAAGTGACTTTTTTAAAAAAAATTATTTCAGTCATAAAACTTTTATTTGAGACACTTTTTTCTAAAATGTCAAATAAAAAAGATAGAGGGGGTGACATTTATAACCAATAAAACCCTGTACAGGGTGGGCCTCGAAAACTGTTAAAGATAAACCTATCAAACCTGTATCATTAAAATCAGCGAAAGCATAGCTTTCTAATGAACTATTAATATATAGAGTGTCCTATTGAAAAAAATCGGATTTTGGTCAATATCTCGAAATCGAAGCCAGACAGAAAAAAACTGGGAACGTCACTGAATTCTGCTTAAAAAAGTGCTTCCTTTTGGAAAGTGTCTTTACGGAAATAAATTATTTCCATAAACAAAAAAGTTATGGAGGCTTTACAGTATTGCTCAAAGTCGAGAATCGCCCTCTAGCGCCTAAACGGTTGAAGATATCAAAATGCGGTTTGCACCAATCAAAATTTCATGAAATTTGAGCTTCAGAGTGGGGGGTCCATTTTTTTCTATCTCTAAAAATAAAGGGTGTTTCCATAAGAAAGTGTCCAATTTGGACCACCCTGTACAAATGTTTGAAATCTCACATGTACAAGTTATAATTTTTTTTCAATGCCTACCACACATATAGGTTTTCCTGATGAGGATGAAAGTGAAGAAGAAAATAATGAAAACGAAGATTTTGGCGATCTATCAGATTTGGATGACGGCAATAATGATGATGATAATGGAAAAGGCGACATCAGTTGTGATGGAAGTGACTTCGAAGTAATAGTTAACAATTAATACAATTTTTTATTGTTCTGCCTTATCATATTTAGGTGTCTTGAGAGCAACTTTAAAGTTAATTAACCGATTGTCAGACGGGAGAAAATTGTTCGGACACATAAATATTTTTCGCAATTTTACAATAATTGTACAACGTATGTAGCTCATTGCGGTTTCTGCCATATTGAAGATATGCATATTCTCATAACTACATTTCATTAAAATATACGGCAGACGGGTTAAAAACGTTCATGATATGAACAATTTTTGTTCCAATTTTGTTCATCAATTATAAGAACTTGTATCAGCCTGCAATTTCTGCCAGTCGAAATTTAAGCTTTTAGTGGTAGCTAATTTTATATAAATTATTGGCAGACGGGAAAAAATTGATCTCAACACTGAAAAATTTTGACATTTTTATTGTTTCTGCCAATTGCTAATATACCTTGGATACATCTGCCAATAAATTTCTTGGATTTTACTTTGCATGTCTAACTTATCTTCCAAATGGCAGATGGGAGAAAATTGTTTCAGCATCTCAGCATTTTGATACAACTTCAAAAAGTGTTAAATATTATTATAACATCTGAGATTTTCTGCCATTTCCTTATTGATCTCTAAATCGTAAATGCAACATAAATTCAATTTGGCAGACGGGAGGTCGTTGATCCACATGTCGGATTTTTGCGACATTTTGAAATTAGTAATATGACATTTTATACTAACCTAGGGTTTCCTCCGTTTAGCTTCCTTCTACTCATTTTTGTTTAAATAACCTTCACAATGTGTGGCAGACGGGATAATAATGATCCAAATCTCCACTTTTCATTACATTTTCAAATTAGCATATCATTGTGTTATCACACGCGGGGCTCTTTGAAATTTCAGCCATTCCACTTCTTATTGCATAAACAATAACCACCCTTAATGGCAGACGGGAGAAAATCGTTTTGAAAAAATGGTCGTTATGCACCGGTCTATATCTATACATATAAAAATCGATGTTTGTTTGCTAGTGATAACAAATTTTACTAGACATGGTATGTCAAAGTAAAACGAAAGTTAATAGCGGCAACATTGCGACGTGCTTATGTCATTAATTTTGATCACGTGCATACACTGTTTAATTAATTTCACTATATTAAGGGCCGATACTTTTGCTCTCGATTAACGAATTTGATACGTCGTCAAAATTGTGCATGGGCCAAGGTCTATAAGTATGAAGTGGTTAAAGCACATTCAAATCCCTGATTATTTTTTACGGCTGTTAAATGAGAGCAAAAGTACCGGCACTAAATGTATATTATTGACGCGTGTTCGATTGTGTGACCCAATCGAATTGTCGAATTGTATGCTCTGGCTGATTTTTTTTTGTTGGAATGCCATCTAAAATCAAAAATGAGGTGAAAAAAGTATCTTACTATTCTTAACTCTTAATAGAAAAATACAAATCTGCTATTGAAAATAAAAAAACGCATCAGCAAAGGGAGGCTCAAGGTAGCTTTATACCTACCTTGGACTTAAGGGATCCTTGAGGCTTCCTTAACCGACTATAAAACAGGATTTTATTTGAAGGATGCCTCAAGGTCTAAGAAAGCCTCAAGGAACGACTATAAATTCGACCCTAAGAGACGATAAAACTTGTAAAAAATTATCTATATATAATTTGGTTGCACTAATTTTTTATATTAGTTTTAGGTAGAGCTATGGTGGAATGCCGAATGGAGGTGCTGATTTCTCTTTTGGGGGTGCTTAGCACCCCCAAGCACCCCCCTAGTTGCGCCTATGTATATAACTAGAGGTATTCTAGTTATATAAATGAGGTTACGGTAATCTTTATAAAAATTGCTTATAAATACTTTAGCTCGTACTTAAGTAACGGGTACTAAAAGTTTTATAAAATGGTGATGGAAACAGTTACATCACCTTATTATGTACCTGTAAGTTATAGTAAACTTATAAATACTTTATAAAACTATGTTACCATAGGTTGCAGATTATAAAACTTGGAAACCTTCTTATATACCTTTGTTACTATTATATACCCATTATATAACTTGGCGTTACTATAAGTTGCGAAAAATGTTTATTGGGCAACAGCCAGACTATTTTTCAAAGATATTACACACTACACAGGATAGCCTATCCTCATAAACCCTGTGTAAATCAAATCTCAAGCCCCCCACCGACTCCACTACGCCAATGTACCAGTGATGACGTAGACAGCGTGTCGTTTTTCGCAAACGCTTTGACGTAGGGTGATTGCAGTTTGCACCACAGGCTATGATTCCGCTGACTTTTGCTTTATGCATGGTTTTGGTAATCTAAGGATTTAGTACATTAAATGACATTCTAAAACAACCCTTTTTTAGATCTCGTTTGCATCTTCCTCTTTGTCTCTTATGTTGACACCGTTGATGCATAGGCAACGATGCAATACCATGTGACCGTGATTCCAAAAATCGAGGCCGATGAGCAATCTTGTAGTAAGTACTAGTAGCAGTATGAATTGTAATATCCTTGACTATTTTCAACCAATGAAATTAGCTGTGAACAGACCTAGAACCCTAGAACGACTTGAGTGAGTCAAATTTCCAAGTAGGACCAGATGCAAAATAGAATGGAACGGAATATAAAAACAACGCTATAACAAGCAGTAGTTCTTGAACGTACTACCAAGTTACCTTTGAGGAGCTCCGAACAGATTTTTCGACGTTCAAAAACAAAGGAGAGCCGCTCTACTAAACAACGTAACCTAACTTTTTCAAAATACAAACAATCAAACAAACATAAACTACAAACAAAAAAGAAATTTGAAAAAATACATATTAATTTGTACATAATTAGGTATTTTTGTGTTTTATATAATTTCTATATTATTTTACTCTAAATCACTGTACAAAATGTTTTATATAATTGAAGTAGATGTACCTAGTTTTAAAATAAATTTGGAAATGTAGATGTATATGTGGAACTCATAAAATTTAAATTAAAAAAGAATTTCAATCAAAAATGGGTAGCAAATATGAAGAAGTACGCCAGGAACTCGATTCTTTTGGCTATATACAGAAATTGGTTCCTGAATGTGTTCCGTTGGTTCAAAAACTTCTACTTGATTTAAAAATAACCACTGAAAATCTGGAAAAGTACATGAAAATATCGCAGAGGGCTTTGGATGTAAGTATGTAAACAATGAGGCATGTTCAGTATTTGTGCACTGTATAAGTAGTAGCTTTCTGTCAACTTGCCAATAAGAAATTGCATCATTATTATTATTATTCTAGGAAAGAGTGTGTTGTGTAAAGTGTAATGTAATAAAATGAAATTATAATTTTCAGGAAAAAGACTCTTTAGAACTCGGGGTTGAACCTTACAAGTGCGATAATGGGAAACTTATCAAAGAATGTAATGATTTGCATATGGCATTCATAAACTTTAAAGAACAGCATGAAAAAATGCGTCGAGGTAGCTACCAAATACATAAAAATAGAAAATAATAATCTTATAATATGACGTATACTTAAGTACAGTCGCTTGCTATTAAGAGGACAGTTTTCTCATTATCAATATGTTATATTGCAGATTTTCGGTATCAAATAAGCACACTACAAAGTCAACTCGAAAATTGTAATGTTGAAAAGAATAAATTGGTTCAACAAATTCAGCAATTGGAAAAAGAAAAGTATAGAAAAGGTAAGTGAACTCTGAGAATTTTATTTTAAACCTGTCAACTGATTACTGAATAATAGTACTGTACTTAGGTGGAAAAGTCACACATTCTCGGCTGACAGTGTAAGTTGACGGGCGAGGCGTAGCTTTTCCACTGAAATACACATACTATTTTTTCTGCGATCGGTTAAATATCTGTTAAATGTTTGTCTTTTTGTTCCAATTTTTTAGCAGTACGAGAATCACTTTCCCGACCTAGGCCGGAAAAGTGATTCCCGTATTGTTATTCATCGATTCCTTAGCAACTATTGAAAAATAATTAAAATACCAGAATATTGAGTTTTGCGACCTGTCAACCGGTCAAAAATGCTGACATTTCTTGTCAATCGCAGAAAAACCCTATTGTTAAGTAAATGTGTTAAATATGGCCTTGGTTGAGTCTTTGTCAGGATACTGTTTTGATGGCTTGTATGAAGTTCTCTCATAATGTATTAAATGTTTGTTCTTTTACACCTGAAAATTTATATTCTCACTACTACCAAAAAATTATGGCAACATTTGAGTTATTTCAATTCACATTTTTCAGAAACATTTTCAAATTATTCTGTTAGTCATTCTAATAACAAAAAAAATACTATATTGTGTATTTAGGTGGAAAAGTAGCACATTCTCGGCTGACGGGCGAGGCGTAGCATAAAAATATAATTCAGACCTAATCTAACATGTGCATGCATGCAACAAGTAAAAAGAAAGGATAAAAATAATATTCCAAAGTACATGAATACATGTATGTAAAAAAAAACTATTCTTACAGAAAAATTTAAAAATTAATTTGAATTTAAAGATTAATCGAAAATAATCGAATAATCGAAAATAATCGATTACTCGTAAATATTCGATTAGTCGAAATTTAGCGATTAATCGACAATAATCGGGATTGGCGCCCCTGCGAGTTTTCGCTAATCGGTATATATTCTGTACAATTTTTTACGCGTGGCTTCGGGGCCCCTTTACCACCGTGCCCCGGTGCGCCGTACCGAACTGTCCTACGATAGCTACGCCACTGATTATGTTAATTAAAATTAAATAGCATTTTTCATCATGAATGTATATTCTAAACTACGACCGCTGGCGTAACTAGGTGACGACATAGTTGATGATGTCGTCAATGGTGCTGCACCATATGGCCGCGATTTCCATAAACGCCGATAAGCAATCCTGTGTAGTAGGTATATTCTCCTTGCATTCGTACTCTTTTGAAACGAGAAACTTCCTCTGTGTAAGCATCAAACGTCAAACATTGTTGCATACATTTAGGGGTTTTTCGGAAACACTTATTCTCGCACTTACTCGATTTCATGCCTATTCATTATCTACTCTTGAATTTCCTAAAGAAACCTCAACGCATGTTGTGTTTTAAAGATAGGGCATTATCAATTGAAAGATAGGGCATTGCCCCCCCCTGGCTACGGCCCTGCCCTTAATTTTTTTTGATGTTCTCAAAAACTAGAGGAGCACCTAATTTTTAATTAGAGGCCCTAATTAGCACCTAAAAAGCACCTAATTATTATATAGATCCCGAAGTTTTTTTTTCTCTCTGACACACCAACATGTAAATGTAAAGCCAGCAGTCCCCTAATAATTAAAAAAAATCTGTAACTTGGTTAATAATTAATCAATTCTATTTTTTCTTCGACTATTCAGGAGCACCTAACAAGCACCTAATTCTTTTGGAAAAATATTTTTTACTATAGGGAACTACTAGCTTTCATAAACCTAGCAATCCCTTAGTTATTTTTTTTGATTTTTTCAAAAACTAGAGCACTTAATTTTTAATTAGAGGCCCTAATTAGCACCTAAAAAGCACCTAATTATTATATCGATCCCGAAGTTTTTTTTCCTTTCTGACACACCAACATGTAATCGTAAAGCCAGCAGTCCCCTGATAATTAAAAAAAAAATCTGTAACTCAGTTAATAATTAATCAATTCTTTTTTCTTCTTCGACTATTTAGGAGCACCTAAAAAGCACCTAATTCTGATACAAAAGAAAATTTTGAAAAAAAATTTTTTACTATAGGGGACTTCTTGCTTTCATAAACCTAGCATTGCCTTAGTTTTTTTTTGATTTTCTCAAAAACTAGAGGAGTACCTAATTTTTAATTATATATTGGTAGATGTATTGGAATAGAGAAAAACAAATAACGACTCATTTTTTTTTTTTATAATCTGAGCTAGATACTTTTAGTTGGCCTAAGGCTGACGATATTGCTGAAGTAGATAAAGCATACATATTTCATGTTCCTATTGAGTTATTAGGTAACGATCCCTTTCAACTGAGAAGAGCTGACGCATTAGGCCGAGCATTAGGCATTCCTAAAAAATATAAGATCGAGCATCAGATTATGAGTCAATATAGTTATAATAAATAGGTTATAATTAGCCAGTTTTGCAATACATCATTTTGATTTTTAACAATTTTAATTCCTTAATATTCGAGTTTGTATTACTCAATGTATAATAATAATAATAGAACTTACGATTGAACTCTTTCATTTGCTATAATGGCTGATATTTTTATCATATCTACTAAATTATCTATTATGTTTACCTGTCTTCGATGTCTACTATGTTCTTTTAAAGACATATTTTCTACCAGTAGTACTTACATAGTTACATGCGCTCCTTTGTAGGGCTTTGTATTGCCTTGCAATCACAAGTATTCCTACATATACTCATATATTTCTACAGGGTGACATTTTAAAAACTTACAATGACTATATAAAAAAATATCGCTGAAAACAATTTCTATAGTAGGGAAGGGGAAACAAAATTATGTAATAACTAACTTGTTTTCACTCACCCCCTCACCCCCAGCCACCCCAACTAAATAATCTCAAATAGCAACCCCCTACTTGTGATACCTTATCTGAAAGCTCTTAAAAAATGCTTTTCAATGGTACCCTACAAGCTAGGATTCGATGTGATTGTTTTTGGTTTATAGGGTGAATAAAACTTCATTCATTTAATTTAAAATTGTATTTTTTTAGACTTGTCAATTTTTTCAGGTTCCCAAAACAATGAATAAACAAAAAATAATACAAGCCTAAAATGGTTAAGCCTAAAGATTAATGCTACGATAGTAAAAAAATGTTTTTAAATGTTTATTAAATTATTAGTCGAAAATTCAATTCACATTTCAATGGTTTTATTTTGAAAATTATTGACAATTATTAGATCGTATCCTAGCTTGTAGGGTACCATTGAAAAGCATTTTTTAAGAGCTTTCAGATAAGGTATCACAAGTAGGGGGATGTCATTTAAGAATATAAAGTTGGGGTGGCTGGGGGTGAGGGGGTGAGTGAAAATAAGTTAGTTATTACATAATTTTGTTTCCCCCTCCCTACTCGAGAAATTGTTTTCAGCGATTTTTTATATTTTTTTTTGGTTCCTGAGATATAGCCATTGTAAGTTTTTAAAATGTCACCCTGTATGTATTTCCATGTACCATCGTCACCAAAAGTATCTGGGACAAAAATAATGCATAATAATCTCCTGGACTAATTCTACTGTCATTCATTTCAATGCATTTGATTCATAGTTTGACAAATATTTGACAATAAAATTCATATAATAGTACAAGAACTAATATGATGCTGTCCCAGTTACTTTTGGTGACGATGGTACTTCATGTATTCAGTCTACAAATTTGGCTGACCCTCGAATATTATAAACAAAATTTGGCAAATAAATTCTAATTCTAATAATTATTGTAGTTTAAACTAGGGTATAAAATGTAGGTGGAGGTGCGCCCCAATTTTTAAGTGTTGATTCGAGTCTCATTTTTGGTGTCAAATGACAGACAAGCTGTCAGGACCCAGTTATAAAAATAAGAAAGTTATTAGTACCTAGATTTTATTTTAAGTATATACTTATAGGTAAGAGTGCCACAAAGGACCCTCAAATAAATAATAAGAAGGAAGGAGGCAGTTTTCGTTTAAGTTCAGATATGGCAGTAGCTGAAGCAAAAATAGTCCAGCTAAATAAAGAATTGAAAGATTTGGCAGACAAGCATTTGAGGCTAGTAGAAGATAATGCTGTACTGAACAATAAGGTCAATAGCTTTGAAATTTCGTGATAATTTTCTAAAATGTAGATCGTTTGTAGTTGAAAACTCGGGACGATGAAATTTGTCGACTTCATTCTCTAGTAGAAGGTGGTAGAACTTATGCTTCTGCAAATAAGGACTGTTGCTTTAAAAATATTGATGGCCAAATAGTTGTTTTACAAGATGAAATAACACAATTGAAAAAAGAACGAAAAAATTTACAGTTGGAAAATCAAGGTACTTACATTTAAAAATAAGTATTAAAGGAATTAAATAATATTTTGTAAATTCCTTCTAGAGGCTTTAGCAAAGCAACATGAGGCAATGAGAAGAGCGCTTCATTTGGCAGGAAGAAATCGACAATTAGAAAAGGAACTGAGAGATGTTGACCAAATCGCTTTGGCGGTTGAAGCTGAATGTAATAGTACTGTTAAGGATAATACGGAAAAAGTGGCCAGGTATGAACTAGTTTTGGTGTTTATTTTTCCTCTGCATTTTTCAGCCTGAACTTCATTGATTTCAATCAATTTTATTCTCAAAATAATACTTATAATTTTTTCGACTTTATCATTTATGTTATCAACAGATTTACCCACAGTCATTTATATTGTCTATGGAGCTAATAGTTGTTGAATTTTTCAAGTCCACTATGGAAGAATAAAAATAATTCACAAATATGAATAGCATGTTAATATTGATCTTTTAGTTTAAATGGTGTCAATTCGTTTTGATCCTCCAAAGAATGAATATTTTTCCAAAATTTATTTAAATTAGCTTCTTTTACTTATACAAATTGGTGTTTCAGATTGCAGGATCGAATAAACGAGTCTCTAATCCTAATCCAAACTTTAGAAAGAGACAATACTAGTTTAAAACAAACAAAGTTAGAACTCTCAGCTGAATTAAACTCCGTTAAATTAGAAAAGCATAATTTACAGAAGCAACTGGAAAACGAAATTGATAATAAGAAGGAACTTACTGATAAGATTAACTCATTTACTGTGATTGGTAAGTTTTACAATAATAGACATCCGTTACAGGAGATACTAAGATATTGTAATAAATAATTATAACATCACCAATCAATGTAAAACTGTTTTTTTTTTTGTTACTTTTTTTTTTTTAATTATACTCGAAATGCTCTATTGCCTATAAACTATACTAGAGAAATTTTAGAAAATGATCTGAATTTGGAAATAGATCGACTTTCAAAGCTCAACAGCGAACAAAAAAGAAAGATCGTCGAATTGGAATCTCAAGTTGAAAACCCAAAAATCCAAGACAAAAAGAAAAATTCAAAGGTGGTATGTTTTGAACCCAGTGTAAAACAAGATGGCATGTCAAAACAAAAGTCTTCTACGCTGAATGGCAAGAAATCTTGCGGACATAAAAAAAACAGCAAAAAAGCAAGCAATTCTCCTCCATTGAGAAATCTATCGCCATCAAAATTGGACAGTGGTCATCAAACGGACTTCACAGAGGCTATGCAAAAATGCTGTTGCGATTCCGGTAACTGCATTAAAAATCTAAAAGAACTTCTGGATAAAGAGATTGAATATCGACAGGGTCATGTAAGCGAATAACTTTGGATTATTCAATAAATTTCTTAGATCGGTGATTGAACTGAGTTTATTTTCAGACAAAACAAGCTTTGGATGATGTTAAACAAGAAAAGGACTTTTATATGAAAGAATATCACAAGGTTTTGGAACAAATTAGAAATGTTCCCAGCTATGAGATATCCGAAACTGTGAGTGTATTTTATTTTCATCCTTTTCAATTCATTATTATTTTATTTTACAGGGTATTACACAATTAAAACAACAATTAAGAGATAAAGATAATAAGATTAAACAATTGGAAAATGAAATCGTAATACTTAAAGTAGAACAAACAAGACGTAACAGTGAGTTGCAAGGCTTAGTAGGTTTCTCGCCTTGCAATAATGTATGTCTTTTATATTATTATTTTTTCCTGTTTTTATTTTCTGATGATATTCTAGCCAAATTGCAAAAGTAAAGAAAGAGAAATGGAGGTAAAGTCGAGAGAACTGAGTCATCTTAACCTAGAAAATGAAGCACTTGCAGCCAAATTACGAGTAGGTGCCTATGTTTTTCAGAATTGAAATTTTACTATCATTTATATTAGGTCAACTGTAAAACCACTTTTTTGCAGTCAATCAATGAAGCTGCCAATTTCAATGAAGAAAAAGTGAAAAGCGCTTTTAAAGAAATGGAAGAGCACATACGAAAATTAGAAGATGAAAGAAGAGATTTAGTAAAAGGTGAAATAACCCAACGTTCAAATATATCTCATTTAGAAGACAACTATAGGAGAGTTCAGGAACAGCTAAAGCAAACTCAAGCGGAACTTAACTGTCAGCGTGCTTCTTACGAACAACTGAAGTAAGTATTTATCTATTGTTTTCCTTTAGAATTCGACGTTTCAGTAATTAGTAGAGTCATCATCAGGACTAGGTTCAAGGATTTGTAAAATTACGATGCATTACTTGAATATATCTATAGAACTTTTAATGGTGGAGCTAATTTTGACTAACATTTCATCATTCTAAAAAAAACACATTGCACTAACAATATTTACAAACTTTATTTTTTACAGACAGATCCATGAACAAGCTGATCGCTCTCTATCCGATGTGCAAGCGCAGTTGATAAAGGTGGAGAAAGAATTAGCCAGCTATAAAAACAAATGTAGAGATTCCAATAGAGATGCTTCCAATCAGGATATGCAAATAGCAACACTAAAGTCTGACATTCAGTTAATGAAAAACCAATTGACAACAATGGACAGGCAGAAGGATGCTTTGGCAGTAAGGATATGTTTTGGTTAATTGACTTGTGTTTGAATGTTTATATGTAATAGTTATTTACCAAGAGTTACTTCTTGACAACATACAATGACAATATGCTGAAAATTTAAAGTGACTTCCGCTTGATACAGTTGCAGTAAAGTACATAGATATTTTCACTCATCCTTAATGCTACAAATTATTTAATATTACAAAAGGCTTTATTTTTAGCATGATCTGGATACAAAAATGGATAAAATATCTAGTCTAGAAGACGAACTGGATAAGAAGATCAAGATGGTGTCCAAGCTAGAAAGCCTAGTAAAAGATCTTAATAAAAAATTAAGGTAAGCTAGCAACTAAAATTAAATTTTTTTTTGGTAATCTTTTTCTATAGCTTTTTCCAGTTTGTCATGGATACAATGGTTAGTGCTTTTATATATTTCATTTGGTGTAGTAGCTTCTTTTCTTCTCATTTTTTTTTCAGTAATATTTTCTATTCACTACAGACAGCATTATTTTGTTTTTATGCACAAATTATGGTAAGTGTCATCAACAATATATTTTAATTGTTCGGTAAACTTGACATTTATTAATGGTTGAGATCTTTTCCATATTCAATTTTTTTAAAATCGAATGATTATTTTTTATTAGCAAATCTCCCTTTTGACTTCTGATACCTAAAAAGTTAAAAGAAAACAACAATGCCACTGCAGTAATTATTATTTATTAACATTACACCTAATAGTCCAGGAGGCAGTGAAATTTTTTAGCACTTATTTTCGCAGTTGGTGTCTATTAAATAGTTTGTTCTCCTGGTGATACAAAGCAAGAATTTTTGAGTCTGGCTAAAATTTTCGAATGGGTTCACAAGATCAATGAAAAATACAAGTACGCTTATTTTCCCAGACATAAATATTTCACATTTACTACAATAGAACATTAAGTATATGAAAATAGCAATTTGGCTTATCTCAGATAGTGAAAGTGAGTCTGGCTGAAAATTTTCGGATCTCCAATTTTTCACTTGCGAGACATATTATCCATACTCACAGATTAGCCGGACTATTTTTTTACGTAACTTCAGTATACATACTTCTCATTAGTAGACCTGTTTTTACCACTGAGAAAAAAAAGGACCGTGCATTGGTAAGCTTTAACGCATTTTGCGCCTCAACCCATCGGAAAACCCCCCCTAAAAATATATGTATTTTGCTTAGAATTACTAACCCTACAATTCTATCCATGTTTTCTTACTGGGAAAATAAGTACCGAAAATCGTCACTATCTCCTAGACTATAAATTAAAACAAAAATCACAGTTGAGTGTTTATATACAAATGTAAAATATTCGTAGGTAATACCATAAGAGCTCAGATTTAGCCGGATATTTTTTGGCTTGGTCTCGAATACTTACTTTTAGGAAATTTAACGAGAGCTGTTCCGACAAAATCACGAGATCGCAGCTCGAGTGATTTTGTGGAACAGATCGAGATAAATTGCATGAAAGTAAGTATAAGAGAGCAAGCAAAAAAATATCCTGCTCAAAATCTGAGCTCGAATGGTATTTAGTACGGCAATTCCACGAATGCATAATCAAAATAAAATATGGAAATACTTTTTAAAATGAACAGTTATTGAAGGTACAATTAGAATAAATATTTTCCCCTTACAATTTGACTCTACAGAAAGAGAAGAAGACTCTGTGTTCTCAGGAATTGAATTTTCTATTTCGCTATTAATTCATCTTTAATTGTCCCAAATCGCTGCGTGTTGAAAATATTTTTAATTTTATTTAAAAATACACTTTTAATAAGCCAAAATGATAGAACTTGTGCATTTTTGTGACAATTATTTGACAGATGATTCAAAAACCAATTTTATATGCAATTGTTACTACGGTAACGATTTCATCAACAGAAAATTTATCCGATTTTTTTATCCAGTTATATTTTCTCTTCCTTCCTATTTATCCGCTAGCAAACTACGATTTTTGACATTTCAAATGGGATTATTTATACATGAGTGGAATTGCCGACCTAATAGTTGAGCTTGTTTTGAGTGAAATTATTATTTAAAAATTCGGCCAGTAGAGCCGTTTGTGGCAAACACTCTGTCAAATGCACATTTCCAATCATACGAACTCTGCGAACATTTCCAGAAATACACTCACACATTGCACCATTCAATTCATTTTCCGTGAGAAGTTCTCGCCCTTCTCTACGAGGGACTAGCCAAGCGCCTTTGGCGCATGGTCCTTGAGAATAAAGTTTGAAGCATTTATCTCCATATCTTGTCAAGCCTTTACTCTTATCACATTCGATTTCACCTTCACAGTTTCTTTTTCCGCACGCACATACGCCATTGTATGAAACTCCATCTACGGACGGACGTGTTTTGAAGTCGAATGATATTATTTTTCCTTTATCACATGGACCGCCTGATCCGATTCTGTAGCATTTACCATCGGAAGGGTAGTAGAGTTCTCCTCGCTGGCACGGTTGATGAATACAGGTGGTTGAATTTAATAAAATTTCTCCTTGTTCACATGGACCTTGAGTGAAAGGTCTATGACATGAATTATTGTTTTTGTAGCGGATATTGCTATTTCGGCAAACGCAGCCGCCCGTGCTAGTTTTTGGTAGGATTGTAAACATTTCGCCTTTATTGCAAGGTCCAATTGTACCTAAAAATGATAGAACAATAATTATGAAGTGCATTATTCCGTACATTGATAAAAATGACATTCATGGTGGTGATAAATATTAACACATTCAATGACACCCGCGGCATTTGCCGTCATAGCCACTGTGTCGAAAACGACACCAAAAATATGGGTGTGCGCTCAGAACAACACCTTGATATGCTGCAATGTATTAACCTGTGTCTCGGGTGGTTTCGTGGACGTTAATTATACTATCCATTCTAAATATATATTTTTGGGTTTCCAACACGGCACCCTAACACCAAATATACGCTAAATCGACGGCATGCAACGGTAGCTCCGTTAGGAGCTTAGTAGACCAGGACCAAAAAAGGAAATGCGTCATATAACGTCAGCGCCCGCATTTGCATTATGACGTTGGCGGGAAATGTCGCTAATGCCAGTTAAAAATCTGTCAACAAAATCAGGTGTCATTGAATGTGTTGAGAGATTTTGTATTCATTATATATTATCAAGGCAGAGCAAAAAAGAATATTTATTTAGGGCGGGTATTGTAAAACTATTTTGACAGTTAACTTAGAAGTTAACTTCTGGAATGACGTTACTTTCCATAGTAATCCTAGAAGTTAACTTTTTACTCTCTGTCAAAATAGTTTTATAATAGATAGATAGATGTTTATTTCCAAGGATCACATACAGGATATAGGAAAATATTTACAGATAAAATTTGCATTACATACTAATCAATAACGTAACATTATAAATAATTAAATACCTATTTATAACAATAAGCATAAGAATAATCAAATAATATACCTATTACAATTTTTATGAAGTATTCTTTCATATCTTCCACTGCGTAAAGTTTAGAAACTCCTCCACTGTATAGAATGCATTTTCCAATAAAATATTTTTAATAAAACATAAGAACTCATTCTGATTTAATTGACGTTTGCTAATAGGTATCTTGTTATACAAAATAGCCCCTATGTAGTAAGGATTTGCTTTGTAAAGCTCAAGACGATGAACGTCATATTGATAATCAAGTCCAAATCTAGTTGTGTAATCATGGTGCAGATTTAGAGCTTTAAAAGCATTTGAGTTATCCCTTACAAATTTCAAGATTTCGAAAATGTATAAACAAGGCATAGTCATGATTTTTTCAGAAATAAATTTTTGTCTACAAGATTCCCTAAACTTCATATTATACATTAATCGAATAGCCCTTTTTTGCATTATAAAGACTCTCTGTGAAGCAGAGGTTGCACCCCAAAGCACAATCCCATATCTAATACATGATTCAATAATTGAAAAATAAAACACTCTTACAGTGCTTCTACTTGTTATTTGAGACAGACGATATAAAGCAAAACAACTCTTTGCACACTTATTGCATACATAATTTATCTGCTCTCTCCAGTTTAATGACATGTCAACATGGATACCCAAAAGTTTCACAGTATTAACCTGCCTTATTGATCTGCCATTCAAGAGAATGTATTGACTTTTATTGTAATTTGCCTCATAAGGATGAAATTGCATTGTGTAAGTCTTTGCCTGGTTAAGCACCAGTTTATTATTACAAAAATAATTAGATAAAAAATGCAGGTTATCTGTCAAACCCTTTTTCATAATTTGTTCATTGAGATCAGAAGATAAAAGCGTAATATCATCAGCAAATTCACAATGCAAAGTTGTTAAGATATCCGATATATCATTCACGTACATGAGAAATAGGAGGGGACCAAGAACACTACCCTGTGGTACACCAACCTCAACATTTAACTGGTCAGACATAGCTCCATTACATTGCACATATTGTTTACGATTACAGAGATATGATTTTAATAATGAGTAACAGTTACCACGAATACCCGCCCGTAAAAAGACAGAATATGCATGTGTAATAAAAATGATAGAAAAACCAAATGAAATATTAATTTGTACTAATACATGCGACTCTAGTCTATACAATGTGAAAAGGGCCCTAAATTGAATTATATGCTTGGAGTTGGTATTAACTTTTTTACTGCTGCAATTGATGATGTATTTGGCTAAAGTGTGGTTTCCACATAAAGATTTGCTGGGCTGTTCATATTTCTAAGGCACAATGTTGATTTTTCTACTATTATCTAGCAGAAGATTTGTTTCGGCTGGAATATGCGATTTGAATAATTCTTCGTCGCTTTACTGGCTTTTGGATTGCTGTGGATTGTGTCTCCTGGCTTCTGGAACGTTGGGTGGATTTAGACTCTCCCGGCTTGAGGGGTGATGTAGAGTCACCTTGAATTCCCTTTGCTGAAGGATTATGAATAGAAGCAAAAAAAAGTTTCGTTTCGGGAAAAATACATTTTTCGTTTGTTAAAATAAGAAGACATCTTCCCCAAAGAAAGCCTTAGTATTTTTACATGATTCCTCACATAATGTTTCGACTATCAAAAGGTCAGCATCTATTTCAAGCATGCCGAAGAATTTAATTATTTGCCTCAAAATTCTCTGTCAACATCGAAATCAATTTGCTTTTAATTTTATTGTTGGAAAGGAGCTTCTCTTGACTTACAGTTTGAAAAAATTTGATGGAATTTCAACAAAGTAAATGTTACTAAATAAAGTTTCTGAGGACCTGCTCCCTAGCCTTCACAGTATTAGATACATACTAATATTTTCCAGCCATCTTAAACAATAATGGAGTTGGATCCGAAGTGATTTTACAACTACACAGTGGCGTTTTTATAAAGCAAATTCTTGAAAATCTAGCTGCCTAGGTCTTTCTGCCAGTTCACCTATGATTTCATCTTCACTCGCAGATAGGTCTCTATAGATTGATATCATTGCCAATACATTAAGCCTGTTTTGACAAATAGAGTTGCGAAGATAGGTTTTTATTCTTTTGAGTGTTGAAAATTTCCTCTCTGGGGTGGCTGTGGATACAAAATATCAATATCAGTTTGTACGCATAAGGGTAAGCTAATTGGTTGCATATTTCCAAGTGCGCCAAGGCTTGACGTTTACTTTTTATATCCGGATGGCTACTCAAATAATTGTGCCATAATTTAATTTCGGCTTTTAAGATAGCCTTGGGCACATCAGGAATATAAAAATCTAAAAGTTCGACATAGGCATGGCAATTATAAGGATTCTGAGGAAATTTCCCTAAATCTGAGTATGGGAAATATATAGTCGAATGAAGGAATTTTCCTCGAAATTCTCTACCGAATTGCTTTGGTTAAGGTATCTTTTATTTTTTCATTATCACTTTGACTGATGCTGGTGTGGGAATCTGGTGGGACTTCCTAATTCGGATTCAGATAAATGAAAACTGGAAAACGTCATAGACAACTGATTTGTTCGTCTTGGCATCAGATGCGGAGCCAATTCATACTCCAAGCTTTTTCAAACCTTTGAAACAAATGGATCAATGGACATTGTAGTATCATGAACTTTAACGTTGCTGATTCAGATGGATGAAAATCGTCATATATAGTTGATTTGTTTGTCTTGACACCAGATACGGAGCTAATTCATATTCCAAGAAGGCGTGAATGAAGCTCCTTATTTTGTAATGACAGTAATCCATTGCTATTGACAGTAAATTGTGGAAGCACCACAGCATATACAAAAACAATCAGCAGGCTAACTCTCACGCGCATCTTTTCTGCGCACGCCGCCATTAGGGGATACCATCCTGTCATTAAACGGCAGGGACGCCGAAAATTTATTTTATTTGTTTATTTCTGACAGAGGTCATCGGCGTGCGGTGTAGAGTGGAATTTTAGTTATGATTTTCAAAGTGATTTTAGTATATTCTTGTTGTCAATTATGGTGTTATCTGTTATGATTGTTGTATATTTAATAATAATAATAAATTACTAATTATAAATATTATTATATACAGGGTGTTTGGAAGGTCGATGCAAAGTCTTGGGAAGGTGATAGGGGAGGTCATTTAGACTTAATTAAGCCAAACATACCTTAGTACAAAGTCTTACGGTTTTCGAGTTTTTCGAACGTTTTGGATTTCTTTAAAAAAAGGCAATTTTTCACTTTTTTCTCCTTTCATCTCTAAAATAAAAGGTGACAGCTTGACAATAATTGTTTTTTTCAATAGCAGAACGTGTGTCTCTTCTGAAAATGTAAAGAACAGAAAACCAAACGAACTACAAAAAAATAATAAATTAATGTTTGGTAATTTTTCTTTCTCCTGATCAAAAATTAATTTTTCTGATAAAGTATTACCAATAAAATCAGCTTGTTTACAGCTGATTTAGTTAATAAACTCAGCAGAAAAAGTAATTTTTTATCAGTAAAAAGGAAAATTACCAAAAATGTATTTATTATTTTTTTGCAGTCAGTATGGTTTTCTGTTCTTTACACTTTCAGAAAAGACAAACGTTCTGCTATCAAAAAAAAATATCATCAAACTGTCATCTTTTATTTTAGAGATAAAAGGGAAAAAAGTGAAAAATTGCCTTTTTTTAACGAAATCCAAAACGTTCGAAAAACTCGAAAACCGTTAGACTTTGTACTAAGGTATGTTTGGCTTAATTAAGTCTAAATGACCTCCCCTATCAACTTCCCAAGACTTTGCATCGACCTTCCAAACACCCTGTATAAGTAATAATAAATTAGTTTATTTAAAGCGAATACGACTCTGTGATACAAAAGAAAAAACCTAAATTATTGTTAATCAGGCCCTGTCTCGTATCCCAAAATGGCTACTAGTGACATCCCGGCCATGAATTCCTTTATTACACGGGCTGTCACTCAAGTTAGCCTGCTGATTGTTTTTGTATATGCTGTGGAAGCACTTTACCATCACGTGAGAATTTGTTGGCCAATTTCGTTCTCCATTGCAACAGTTCCAGTCCTATGAGAATCATGACATGCTATTTTTTTTTTATCACACCCCTTGCAATCCGTGTCCATTTGAAGTATTACATCCACAATTGCGCAGTGTTTTCTTTGTCTTGTAAAGTTGCTGAGAAGGGGTTTCGACTGATATATTGTTTTATTTATTATCC